TCCGCTCCGGGCTGGCTCAACTTCCGGTGCCGGTGCCGGTGGGCGCCCCCTCTCGCACCTGTAGCGGCGCGCCAGTGACGTCAGCAGCCGCGGGAGGGAGATCCCCGGCCTGCTCATTGAGCCTCCTCATAGGTTCGGTTAAATGAGGCGGCTGAAGGGGCGTGAAGAAAGCCCGCAAAGCATCGCTTTTATGGCGGGTCTCGGGCAGCACAGTGCTCGCCTTGGAAGGCACGAAGAACATCGGGGTTTGACGATGTTTGGGCCACCGAGTGGTTCCGAGAGCACCGAGCGCTGGTTCGGGAGAAGGCGATCGGTACCGTACCTGCTGCCGCCTGCGCGTCCCGTCGCAGGACAGACTGGCGATTTTATCGTCGGATTAGTTCTGTCGCCGGTGACAGACAGACTGTGCCTCGCGGGACGGCTGAACCCACGGGGTTCGCTAGGAAAGCGCGAGCCCCCTCCACCAGCCCGGGGGTCACTAACGCGTGTCAAAGCTGCAGCCCAGTACAGCACAACCAGTTTAAAAAACACACTGGGAAAACGCCCCCCCTGTGTACTTCACACAGTCCAGAGGCTCGTTCTGCTCCCTGGGTGAGAGAGCGGCTCCCAGGAGTCGGTGTATACTGGTGGTACTGAGGTCCAGTCAGAAGTTCCTGTTCTCTTGGAATTCTGACTATCTGGACGTGGCACCTGCAGCAAAGTAGTACGATCGAGTTTGAATTTGTCTTTACTACTTGCTTAACTTACACCCTCGTCAAAGACATTCGGGGATTCGATTGTGGCTAGTGGCTGCGCGATTTGTGTTTTTAAATCACCTGGAGCGGACACCTCCGTCCCTGCCGTGTCTATCTTTCCGGGTTTGCTTGTCTGTCGGTTTCGTCACCGTGTGAGGTCAGCCCGTACACCCTCGCAGAGATCGACAGTCGACGTGTCCTGCGCGGCTTGCTTAAGTCGCTGTGTTGCGTTTCAAACCCCCTGACGACTCTGCGGGACGGTTCCAGTGTTCACGCGCAAAAAGCTGACTTCGTAAACGAGTGAATGTGCGTGTTTCAGACACTGGGGGCCGGAGCCTCGCGTTTGACAATGCTTATGTTGACCTTCGCTTTCGGCCCAGTCTCACCTGCGCCCGCACTCTTGTTGCTGTGTTTGTGGGGTCTTAACAGTTTCAGTCTCTTCTAATTTACTGAAAACACACACACACACTCATAACAATAATGCATACCTGTCTGCTCGAAGACGCCAACACAAATCCCTCACACTTGGACACACGCACACCCATAAAAATACTACACACTCTTCTGCTCACAGTCACTCACAAGCACACCTGAACACACACACGCATAAAAATAATACACACTCCTCAGCACACACGAGCACACCTGTCCACACACTGAACACACCCATAAAAATAATACACACTCGTTTGCTCATAGTCACTCACAAGCACAGCTGCACACACACTGAACACACCTCCAGTACCTGTTTACTCACAAACACAGGCAGTTCCAGATGGGGGTGATTAGGAATTCTGCGTCTTGGCTGTCTGAGTCCACATGGAATGGAAGAGGCTTTATTTTGACAAAAGCACAGAACAGCCTCTCTGTCGCCTCTTCCTCCAGCCTCTTCCCCTGTCTCCCCCCTTTCTCCCTTCCTCTGTCCTCCCTCTGTTTCAACAAGGGGCTCTTTCACTCGGGGAGCTCAGCTGCTCACTTTGGGCACAGACCCCACAAACACTGCTTCACTGTGTGAGGAGGGGGAGGCTGTTTAGTCACTGTGACACAGGAGGGATTAGGACAGAGAGATGCACTCTCTCTCGGATGGGAATGAATACACCCGTGAACTGAACAACTTTCTTCACTTCTTTGCTCATTCTCCCACACATGGTCCACCCTTCAAAACTCAGTTTTCCTGGGAGAAGGACACTGTCTCACTGACTGCCCAGTACACTGCAGCTTGTCACAGCTGTGTATGCAGGTACCCCTGGGGTACACCCTGTCACAGTCTGAGGGCTTCATAGTGAGGCACTGGTCACAGGTACCCCTGGGGTACACCCTGTCACAGTCTGAGGGCTTCACAGTGAGGCACTGTTCACAGGTACCCTTGGGGTTCACTCTGTCACAGCCTGAAGCCCTCACAATGAGGGCTCTACACACAGGTACCCCTGGGGTTCACTCTGTCACAGCCTGAAGGCCACACAGTGAAGCTCTGCACACAGGTACCCCTGGGGTTCACTGTCACAGCCTGAGGGCTTCACAGTGAGGCACTGCACACAGGTACCCCTAGGGTTCACTTTATCACAGCCTGAGGACTTCACAGTGAGGCTCTGCACACAGGTACCCCTGGGGTTCACTCTGTCAAAGCCTGAGGGCTTCACAGTGAGGCACTGCAGACAGGTACCCCTGGGGTTCACTCTGTCACAGCCTGAAGGCCACACAGTGAAGCACTGTACACAGGTACCCCTGGGGTTCACTCTGT